TCTAAGAACAACTGAAAAATTAAAAGGCTATCCTTTTTTGTTTATTTCTAAGTGGAAATGTTTTATAGTTGTTACTTAAGAAATTATAAAGTTAGAAAATTTTATCTCTTAAAATTTAGAAATTCTTTCAAAGGCATGACGAATAGAAACATTCTTAAGACTTGATATTGAGTTAAAATCCTCTCTAACCACTTTCCAACCTGCTACCTCATGGTGAATACTTACTATTAATCATGAAGTGAATATGATTTTCCCTTTACATTTCATGCTATATTGAAGATAGTTTGCAGTGTTTTTCAGACTTGCTGGAATTGCACAGAAATAGTGTTTTATAGTAGCAGATGTGTGACATCACACGAAAAACCTGTAAAACTTTTACATGAAAACCACATCTTCCAAGTCCCCACTATCGTTTTAACTGTGGTTTCGTGGTTCTCCTCTCCGTCTGTGCCAGAGAAGGCAGCTTTGCGTGAAAGCTGTTCCAGAAAATTGTATCTTCGGGACCAGCTAGTTAAGCAAATTGTGTAGCTGCCATTGAAACCCAAATGTACCCAGCAGACATAATTTCACAAAAGGGGAGGGGAAACCACTTTTGTACAAAAGTCACAGCTGTTCAACTCTACATTTTGTGGGTGTTGTTCTTTTTTTTTTTCATTAAAACATTTTCCCTTTCTTTATGAGCAGTGACAGTTACATTTCTGGTTAGCAACTGAGGACATTTTAAGATGTTGCTAAGTGCTGTACTCTCATGGATTTGATGTCTGTCAGGAAAAATTGGGCTAACTTCTCTTTGCTAGTACATAGAGTGGAAACTCAGTCCGTCCGCTCTGTCTGTAAATGAAATAAGAGAAGATGTAAATGAAATAGATGAAGGGCCATTGTTCTCTAACATACAGAGCTGTGTGGATGCCTCTACTGCTCCAAATGAGTGTTGATATTCTTACATTAAGATCCACACAGTGGCCTCCACCTTGCTCAAATCTTACAAATCTTGCTCCCAGTGGTCAGCTGTCCAGGGCCCTCCAAAGTAGTGGACAGTGGAGCTGACGGCTCAGAATGCTTGGGTCAGAATGCTGTGCATCCTGCTGAGGCCGTATTAGATGGGAGCCAGAGAGGACACTTTCCCCAATGACCCCTCATTCTTTTCCACTAATAAGTCTGAGGCTTGTTTGGACCATGATGGATTATGAACACTAAATCTGTGGGAGGCATTTTGAGCAGTGGTTGGAATCTGGGCTCTACAGTCAGACCGCCTGGGTGCAAACTGGGACCATTCCTCTCTGTACTGTGTGATACTGGGTAAGTCCCTTAACTTCTCCAGCCAGTTTCCTCAATGTTCCCTTAGGACAACTTACCTCCCTATCACTAGAGGAAGGATTATAAATAACTGTGGTAAAGATAGTTGGGCACTAGCCCAGTTCCTGGCACATACTTGGTAGACAGTAAATGTTAACTATTTCGGTGCTATGATGAAGAGGATAACTTTTCTGATGTTTAAATATATTAAACCTGTAACTTTAACATTGACTTTGCATAGGACAGAATCATGGCTCAGGAAGGTAAAGTCAGTAATAGTGGTTGAAAGCTATTCAATCTAGGTTTTTCAGTTTCAGGTTGTATAAACACTTTCCTGCTATTGATTGCTGGAATTCCTAACTGCCTGGCTGTGGCTGACAGGAAAATCAGTGTCTATGCAACTGCGCCAGAGGCACAGACTGATTGCAACCTGACATGCCCTGCCAGTGACAAAGAGCCCACTCTGCAACTTCCGCTCCCAGATGTCGGTCCATTGAAGAGAGTGACTGACTTCTAAGCTGGACTTCTAATGTCCTTGCACAGGCTTTTTGTCACTGGATGGGAGGCGAAATGTTTTTCATATTTTGTCACTAGCACATTCAATTGCATAATGGGGGTATAATGAAACATCAAAAATGATACAGAGAATGTTCTGCAGAGAATACATCATCCATCATCATTAGTAGTACTAGGGAATTAGCATTTTCTTGATTATAGGTTTATCAGAAAGACGACCGTGGTTTATAACATTAACTATTTTTTTTTTAATCCTCACTCGAGGATATTTTTCCATTGATTTTTAGAGAGAATGGAAGGAAAGGGAGAGACAGGGAGAAACATCGATATGAGAGAGACACATAGATTGGTTGCCTCCTGCACGCACCTGAGCAGGGCCAGGGAAACTGCAACCAAGGTAGATGCCCTAGACTGGAATCAAACCCAGGACCCTTCAGTCTGAAGTCTGCTGCTCTATCCACTGAGAAAAATCAGCCAGGGCTAACATTAACTAAATATTAAAGTTGCAAACTAGAATGTATGATTATTTAAGGTATTGAAATTAATGTTATCACTTCAATGATAAACTGTCTTAATCTAGGCATTTTATATTTATGACTAGAGGCTTGGTGCATGAAATTTATACACGGGGGGGGGGGGGCACGTGGAAATATCCCCCAGCCCAACCTGCTCTCTCTCCAATATGGTACTCCTCGGGAGATGTCCAGCAGTCGACATCCCTCTCAAAATCTGGACTGCTGGCTCCCAACTGCTTGCCTGCCTGCCAGCCTGATCACCCCCTAACCACTTCCCTGCCAGCCTGATCAATGCCTAACTGCTCCCCTGCTGGCCTGGTTGCCTCTAAATGCCCTGCCTGCAGGCCTGGTCCTGACCAACTGCCCTCCCCTGCTGGCCTAGTTCCACCTAATTGCCTTCCCCTGCTGGCCAGGTCCCACCCAACTGACATCCCCTGGCTGGCCTGATCACACACAACTATCCTCCCTTGTGCCATCTTTGACCACATGGGAGTGGCTGTCTTTAACCAAATGGGGCAGCCATCTTGTGTGAAGGTCAATTTGTATATTACCTCTTTATTATACAGGTATCTACACTACAAACTTGGTACAGCAACTTAACTAGACAGTTACTGGTTTGTTTGTTTTTTTTTTCCTGTATAAATTAATTATAAGAAATTAGACTTTTTCCAACAAAAATACTCTATGGACTAACAAGGATAAATAACTACAATATTCACATATCTGTTCATGAAGATTTCACAAACAAACCTAATATACACAACCAATATACCTTGTGAAAATAATAGTGTCTTAGAGATGAGATTCACATTGTTTTGAACAATTAAAACAAACCATATAGACTGGCATAGTCCAATTCAGATGGATAAAGTATATTTGTTGTGGTGGAAAATATCTCTCATTTCAAGTAATATTATATTATATAAAATAAATTGAGGTATTTTAAATTTCTGGTTAACTTTTCCCAAAAGATGTTTTTAAGAAATATTGGGATATAATTCTACTTAAAATTACCTTTATGTTTGCATGAATGAATGATCTCATTTTTTTGCTTGGTCTGATAATACCCACACTGGTATTGATATACCTTACAGTATTATGTAATGGGGAAAAGCCAAGAGAAGTAATAGAACTAGTTGCAACTTGAGGAACACTAAACTATTAGACTCACCTGTATCATGATTCCAGCTATTATTTGGAATCTAAAACTGTTAAATGCCAGTCTGATCTAACATAGGACATGGCTGATTAAAATATAAATAACTTCCTGATTATGGTGGTGATACCCAAAAAATAAAGTGGAAAAATGTAGAGAGATAATAATTTAAGCAAAAACAAATAAAAGAATAATGATAATGAGGACAACTTTCTTTTAGAATTATAGTCAATGTCTAATTCAATAATTAACTATAAACCAGCAGCATATCTTTACTTGAAGAACACACACCTCAATGATCAAGAAATTAGGAAGTATTGTTTTCTGACATATGGATGTCTCATTTCTATGACAGATAATTAGAGCAGAGAAGAGAGGTTTGAGTTAAATATTGTTTCCCTTTTTGGATGCCAGCTCCAAAGGAGTTGAGGAAGACATGGAAAAACAATCTGAAGAATTAGAATAAGGCAGGGGTCAGCAAACTATTCTCTACAGGTCAAATTCAGCCAGCTGACTGTTTTCATAAATAAAGTTTTATTAAAACATAGCTATGCCCATTAATTTAAGTGACATCTATGGTTGCTTTCAAGCTACAATGATTGAGTTAAGTAATTGTGACAGAGGCCATATGTCCCCCACCCCCTACCCCAAATATTTGCTATCTAGCTTTTTTATGGAGTTTGCCAATATCTAGATTAAGGAAAAGGTTCTTATTCTCTAAATTTTGCAAGGAAGTGCATAAAAAATGAGATCTGGCATATCAGATATTTCAGTTCTCTTCCTCATATGAACTGCCTTGGATTTAGATATAATAAGCTTTGGCACAGTACAGTTAGATCCTAGATCAGGCCTAAACGGGCAGTTGGACATCCCTTGAAGGGTCCCAGATTGGAGAGGGTGTAGGCTGGGTTGAGGGACACCCCTCCCCCCCCATGCATGAATTTTGTGCACCGGACCTCTAGTTTTGAATAAAAGGGTTCATAGAGGGGATAACTCATATTATGCCAGAATGCATTAAGGCAGTGCAACCTTCAATAATATAGAAATCCAATCTACAGAAAGAATACTATTAATTTGAAATGAGATTATAAGTGAACAAATATCTAAAATTTATTTTTTCTTTTAAATGGGAAATATGGCTGCTTCATTTAATTGTCTTTGAAATCTGATTTAATAGACCATCTCTTCTATACCTCCGGTTAGCTCCCAACATTTTTATTGTAAAATGAAAGGCATTTATTTACTTTGATATCTTTAATTATCACTCATTTAGAGGACAAGGTGAAACACACTTTTCCAATTGGTGTTTTAAAGTCTTGAGTCAAAGAAAAGGAATGACAAATTAAGCAGCTGGAAGAGGCAAGAAATAGCTAGTGCTGCTGGAGTTTTTGTGGATACTTCAAAGTAAGATGAAAGGGAAATAAAGGGACTGTTAGTCACACATGCTCCATAAATGAAATACTAACACAATTTCACGACACATTAATAACAAGTTAATATCACTCTTGGAGACTTACTCAACATAATAAGTGCCATATATGGGATCATCGATTTTTTCCCAGCCATATGGAAGCTCTGAAAAATAAAAAAGTAATTTCTTTTAGTAAATAAGTAAAAGACATCACCATTGCTAATAAAAAGTAATATAATTTAATTGTTCGTGAATTGCAGAAATAATCTACCAAAGGGGAGCAAAGCATTCAGAGTCAGGACCAAATGTCAGACCATACTGTAGGAACTATAAGAAGCACCGACTTGAAAATTGGCAGTTAAAACAGAGCTGTCTCCTTTGCAGATGTACTGTGTCTGGCTGTTTATCCCCCGCCAGGCAGGAGGACGACATGTCATCACGCTATCACCACTAAGGCAATACAGAAGGCACACTGCTTTCCTGAAAGTGTGTATGGCTTTCTTATTTATGTGTATTGTTAAAATGATAGTTTCAGGATAAAGATCATATTTTGAAAATATATTTCTGAAGATAGCAAATATTTTTTCTGGTGAATGTAACACAGACATTATAAATTCTCAATTGATATCCCACTAGTCAAGATGGTTAGCTTGCTGTTCTCTCCACATGGGTCAGATTTTGAGTACAGCCAATATACTTTTGGGCATATTTTTATAAAGTCTGAAATTCTACTCACATTTTCCTTGACAATATGGTTCATATTTCTAATTCTCCATAGGTAATTTTAATTCACATATATTTAAAATAACCATAAATGCTACTATAGGCAAAATTAGGCTCTTTGAAAACAAGGCTTTGCTTCATGATATAAACAGAGCTCTTATAATTGTTAGTTTCTAAATATAAATAATATTATGTTTTTCTTGATAGATATTAATTTTATGTATATAGAATTTGAAATTTAAGTACAATATATTGGCATGCTTTAAATAATATCTTTAAATGAGATTTAAAAGTTGTAATTATAGTAGTAATTTAAATTTAATAGTAATAAAGTAAATTTAAAAGTTGTTATAGTAGTAATACATATTGACTGCAAATTATAGTTATAAAAAAAACTAGAATCACCTGCATTTCCTCCATCCAGAGATAACCACCATTAATATTTTATGAATATTATTCATATATGGAAATACTATTTTTAAGAAATTAAATTCTACATATTATTTTTATAGCCTACTTGTATTTGAAAAACTATCAAGGGCATCTTTCAACATAAATAAATGTTACTAACAATATCACTTTTAAAGTGGCAGGCTAGTAGTCTGTGGTATGGCCAGAGGCTTCATAATCCCTCAGCCTTGTATTGCTATACAACTAGAGGCCAGTGCACAAAATTCATGCATGGGGCGGGGGGGTAGGTGTCCCTCAGCCCAGCCTGCACCCTCCCTTGCCAGCCTGGTCACCCCCAACTGTCCCCGCCCATCCGCTGGCCATCTTGTGGCAGCTGTCTTGCGATTACGTGGGGGCAGCCAGCTTGTGATGGCTTGGGAATGGCCATCTTGTGATGACATGGGGTAGCCATTCTGTAGTGGTCACCTTGTGGTGATGTGGGGGCAGCCATATTGTGATGATGTGAGGGTATGAGGGCCATCTAGGCTTTTATTATTATAGATGGGACTTTCCAGTCTTTACCTATTACATATCATCTGTGTTGGGTTTATTAAAACCTAAATCTGTCATCACTTTCCTAGTAATTTGGTAATGATAAATTCCCAGAGGTGGGATTTTAGATTAAAGTGCATATACTCTTTTATGGCTTTTGATATACAGCCAGATTACTATCTTTACACTCACAAAAGAGAACCAATTTATAATCACTGAGTGACTTTGTTTCTCTGTGCCGTCAAATTAAACACAGGTAAGTATTTCCCCATCCAAAAATTTTAGGGACAGAGATAGGTTTTGGAATTCAGTATTCTCCAATTTTAGAAAGTTAACATGATGCAAATGGTTTCTAATTTATAGCACTCCAAGCAGAGTCTGGGAAGCACTTTTAATCAAACACATGAGTATTTACACAGCCAAATTACATGATTCACACTAAGAGGCATAAATGACTACTTCATATCAGTTTGCACTGATTTGCTGCCAGTGTGTCCAGATCAGGTTCTGTTTTGCTGCCAAATAAGTTACAAAGAGCAGTTTTTTGAGCCTTTGAATTCTAGATATACAGATAAAGAATTATGTATCATTATTTTGAAAATCAATCAAATTATTTTTTTAAATGGCAGCTCATAGCTGTATTAATTTACCTTTCTTCGATTTCTAGTTAGTTTGAACATTTTTCATTTGTCAATCTTTGGACAATTATTTTTTTCTTTTGTTTATTTCTAATTATTTTTTATTAATTCATAAGAGCTCTTTACTTATTAAAGATACTAATTCTTTACCACATATGTTGCACATATGTTAAAAGTTTGTTTAGTTTTTAATTTTGCTGAACATTTCTTTCAACACATAGAAGGTTGGTTTTTCATTGTTTTCCTCTATGGTTTCTATAATTGGAGCTTAGCTTAAATACTGAAGAAATTTTTCTAGTGTTTTAAAACAATATAAAGTCTAGATTATGACTTTAATAATTCTTAGGTTAGTTATATCTTAATAAAATCATAACACCAAATTGTGGAGTGCCTTATGACATTTTTCTTTCACAACAATAATGAGAGCAAAGTCATGCTGAGTATTTACCATGGTTCAGGTACTGATGAATTTCCATGTACTAAGTCATTTTACCCTAACAACAATTCTGAATTTAAAATACCCGTACTCTAGTTCCAGCAATTTCACCCAACTTAGATACTGTATTTAACACAGCATAAATAATACTTAAGAATAAGTAGAAAATTATCTAGATGGTTTTCACTAAATTCTTTACGCTACTGTAGAATCTGGCTATAAAAATGAAGAATCCATTTGACAAATACCTATTGACTGTCTTTTACAACAGTGATGTGCCTTTTACTTCAGTAAAAGAATATACAGAACTCAGCAATCAATATTATATTCAATGTAGAATAAAAGCCTAAAATGGCTAATTTTATGGATACTAGTCTTACTTCTTAATGGCATTGTTACATGGAAACATGTCATAGTCCAATTTTTAAAATTATCTTTCATAATATCAACTATTTATTCATGTATTCCTTATCTTTGGCTCTTTTTTGAGGAAATTACTAATTCTAAGCATTGTATTCTGGAAGTATAGATTTCATCATTTCTTTATCTTTGCAGATTTACAGCACCAAAGGTTCTACCCACATTTACTTATCATCCTTTCCCCTTGCCATCATGAGGTGTTCATCAGAATTTAGAGAGAATTGATTTTCTTTTTTCATAGTAAAAATTTTGTGTTTGTTTGCCGGCTTGTTTCATATTTCCAAATTGAACTGTTAATTTGTGCCTCCCCAAATCATATATTATAAACATCTGTACTTTAAAATAAACTATTAGTGGTCCTTAACTCAAAGTTTGAGGCAAAAATGACATACTATAATTCCGACTATTTGTTCCAAAGGTCTGCCATTTATTTCATTTTAAATATTTGCAAGGGATTGATAGATGAATGCTTCAAGAAACCAGTAACACATACGTACATTACTTCATTTGTAAATGTGGTAGAGTGGGTATAAAAATCTACCAGCCAATATTTAAAAATCTGTGTGTATTTATTATGTATGCATGTGCATTTATACGTATGTATATTCATATATATGAACACGTATGTGTGTATATATATATACGTATTCATCAGCATGTGCATGCAAGCAAGTGTGTGTGTATCCTCTTTAATAACATTTTTCTTGAGCAGCAAAGAAAGGTCTAGGCTAATGGTAATTAAAAAAACACACAAATTTTTTAGATAATGAAAATTTGAGAATCTTCTTTCACTGTGAAAAGTGAACTATCTGGACTTGAGTTAAGTTTTAAAAGTCAATTTCTTCTTTTTAAAATAAAGGTAATAAACAGAAATTTTTTTTTCCAGTTTTTGACTATTTGCTTAATCAGACAAGCATGTGGTTTGGAGCTCTTAGGTCCTGGGTTATTTAGAACACTTTATTTAACAATACCTGACAAATTTATAGATGATTAAGGTCACACTGATGAAAGAATAACATATACTATGCAAAGGGAAAAATAAATACTTGAGATCAGCAAGGTTAATGCTGCATTAAGAACTGTTTTAATTGAGATTGCTTTCGGGCCAAGGAACCATGGAGCAAATTCAGTGATTAGGTATTCCCTCAGTGATCCCTTCTGCAGAAATCAGCATAAACGTCTAGATTAATTTGTAGTCAGTCATATAAGCTTATAAGACTGCAGTAGAACAAAAAGATTCAGTAGGCATCCTGTTCGGCCTGGATTCTGCCACAGCTACTATGGTATATTTTGTACTTGGTTTCTCTTTCAAAATTTTATTTATTTGTTTGTTTGCTAGTTCACTTTCATTGCAGGAAATAGAGGCTCCTTTATGCTAACTCACAAAAAACAGTTTTTAGACTGCAACTGGAAAACTTGTATAGTAGAATACAAGGTCAGTATTTCTTATGGAAATGGGACCCAGATAAAGCTGTAAGGAGCCTAGGATTCCCTAACTCAGGATATTTCAGAAAGTCCCTTCTGTCTGTCCTACTTTATCTTTTAAAGGACATCCTTTATCTCTATGTCTGTGTTTCTTTCTCTTTTACTGGCTGGTTACCTCTGTTGCTCATCTTGCATATGTCCTGCAATGGCTACCCTGAACTTGACTCTATGTTACTTTTTGAAAAACTACGTTTTTAGAGAGAGGAAGGGAGAGGGGAATGGAGACAGAGATAGAAACATTGAAGTGAGAGCGGAACATCGAATGGCTGCCTCCTGCATGCCCTCTACTAAAGATTGAGGAATCGAACCAGCAACCTCTTGGTTCTTGGGTTGACACTCAACCATTGAGTCACACCGGCCTGGCTCTATGTTACTTTTTATCTCAAGCACAGCTACTATTACTTGATCTCTTAGTTTACCAATTCTGTATTCCAACCCACAAAGAATTCACTAGTTCAGTTCATTTTCTTCAAAATAGATCCAAATGTTTGGCCTGGCAGATCAATGTTATGGCTGCTGT